GCTACCACACCCGGCTAATTTTTAAATTTTTATTGTAGAGATGAGGTCTTGCCAAGTTGCCTAGGCGGGTCTTGAACCTGCGGGCTCAGGCAATTCACTCACCTCAGCCTCCCAAAGACACAAGATTACAGGCTGAGCCACTGAGCCCGGCAACCCTGTTTCCTTTTTCTTCATCTCTACTGCTACCACCTTACTCCAGGCCACCATCAGACCTTGCTTCCCTCAGTTACTAGTCTGTCTCTCTGCTCTCCACTCTTGCTCCTTTATCATTCATTCTCCCTACTGCACCCAAAAGCCCTTCAAAAGCATAAGCTGGCCAGGCGCAGTGGCTCAGCCTGTAATCCCAGCACTTTGGGAGCCCGGGGCTTCAAGACCAGCCTGGGCAACATGGAAAGATCTTGTCTCTACAATAAATCAAAAAATTAGCCGGGCATTAGTGGTGCATGAGCTACTGCACCTGGCTACGTGAAACTTTTTATTTTTATTTTTGAGTTGGAGTCTCACTTTGTCACCCAGGCTGGAGTGCGGTGGCACACTCATGGCCACCGCAGCCTCGACCTGCTGGGTTCAGGTGATCCTTCCGCCTCAGCTTTCCAAGCAGTTGGAACTACAGGCATATGCCACCACACCCGGCTAATTTTTTTGACTTATTGTGGAGATGAGGTCTTGCCAAGTTACCCGGGCTGGTCTTAAACCTGTGAGCTCAGGCAACTCTCTCACCTCCCAAAGTGCTGGGATTACAGGCTAAGCCACCAAGCCCAGCCCGTTAAACTTTTAAAAAGATAAATGCGACCAGGCATAGTGGCTCACACTTATAATCCCAACACTTTGGGAAGCTGAGGTGAGAGGATTGCTGAGACCAGGAGTTCAATGCTGCATTGAACTATGATCATACCACTGCATTCCAGCCTGCATGACAGAGTGAGACCCTCTCTTTAAACAAATAAATAAGAGAAATGAGATAGTCTTATTCCTTCCTTCATCTCAAAATGAAGGTGAATGCCTGCCTCACCTGGCCTCCAGAACTCTTCTGATCTAGCAGATGGCTCCTCTCTGAACACCTGCCACTCTCACCCTTCCTCTCCAGGCTCCAGCCACACGCCACTTTTTTCTGACTTTGGCCTTTCCATGTGTGTTCTTTCTGTCCCAAACACTCTTTGTATGGCTGGCTTCTTCTTAACTTTTAGGCTTAAACCATTTTGGAG